GCAAGTAAATGACTTTTGTTCTTTTGTTTTGATAATGACAGGTAAGCTTGGTGAAAGTTTTCGCTTCGCTTAAATTGGTAAATGCTAGGCATAGTGTTTTTGTTTTTACATGTAAATTGGTTTATCCATTTGAAAAGTGCAGTTATGACGCTCCCACTCACCCAATAGAAAATTTAAAACTCGGTTAGTATAATATTTTTTGTCAAGTTCCTTTGAGACCAAATAATTTATGTTACTTTTTTGGGAATAAAATTGGTTTATTTAGTTTTATGAAACTTCCTTTCACACAAGTGTCATAACTAGACAGGACTTGTTAATAGTCGTGACATTGCAACATACATCTTTATGAGAGATGCATGGTAATGAAAAATATGGCTCATCATGTTTTAGCGATTTTCTCTGATTCTTAGTGTTATTGCAAAGGAGAAATCAATGGAAATTTTTTGCCATTGAATTTTTGAAATGCTTTTACAAATTCAATCGACATTGCTTCTTGAAGTTACATTTTCTTAGGAAAAAGGCAAAAATATATTAATTTTTTTTCTGCAGCCCCATAAATGTTTAGAAAAAGAAAAGGACGGTACTGGCTACACCCCATATACAGATCACACTCTCTATCATAACTAGAAAATATCCTTTGTAACATTTGAATGCACTAATTTTACAATAAAATCACTTTCATTAGAGAGACATTCTATTTTTCTAGAAAGAAAGTTTGTATTTTAATCTTCGGACATATTCTATTAAAACTTTAACAATATTTAGATAAATTCAATGCATTGTTTGAGTCTGTTTCATTACAAAATGGTTAAAAATGAGGTGAATCTGAATTTTAAAATTTGGACAAACTTCAAGACAATACTTGCCCCCCTGACAATAACTTTGAAGAAAATTTTCAATATTAATAGAATATATGTTATAAATCATTTTTAAATCATACCTAGAATAGACCATAAACATTAGCCATTCATTAAATTGTTGAATAAAATGTTGATAAACAATACATCATTTTTCATAAAATATAATAAGTCGTATATTATTGATTATAAAATACAACTTAGTATAAACTTATAATACATTACATCTACAACTTAGTGCAGCGGTATAATACACTTCTCTTGCTCAAAAGACTTTTAAGAATAGAAGAGAACCTATAATACATTACATCTACAACTTAGTATGAACTTCTCACTATCATTTATAACTTACAACTTAGTTGACATAATGCACTTCTCTTGGTCAAAAGACTTTTAAGAATAGAAGAGAACCTACAATACATTTCATCTAGAGATTGCACCCTGTGAAGTGACTCACACAATAATCACACTTCTCTTGGTCGAAAGACTTTTAAGGATAGAAGAGAACCTACAATACATTTCATCTAGAGATTGCACCCCCGTGAAGTGACTCACACAATAATCGCAGAACCACGCAACAATTAATCCCCATCGATACCACCTCTTTGTGTCGAGCATATCCCATATCTCCAAATTATCCCATGTATTTAGTGTGCCACTCTTATGCACTCTGGCAGCATAGGTGACAAATACACTCCCTTAAAGGACGTGAACCTCGAAGATCGTCGCTGCACCATCCTCTACAAACTCTGACGGCATAGGTGACAAACACACTCCCTTAAAGGACGTGGACCTCGAAGATGTCGCTGTGTAGAAGCATGCTTCAGTCTCAAGTTTTGATGATGTCAATACTACTCAAGGTCATCTCTTGATTGCAAAAAGACAAGCCGTTCAAAGATCTCAAGATCAAATCAAGATATCTTTCAAGTCAAGCTACATATGGAACTATGATTCTTCCAGACTTGGATGCATTACTGGTATATCAAATTCTACCCTTATAATTTGATATACAAGTGTTCAAAAACATTAAGCATTTTTGCAAAATATATAAGCATGTTTTTGAAACCTTAGAATTGGTATAACATTAATTTTAAAAAACATTTTTCTGAAAATTAGCAGTGTTAACCGATTAACCATATAGGTTAACCGGTTAACCAATTTGAATTTTGAAATTTCTGGGCTAACGTACCAGTGTTAACCGATTAACACTGAACGTACAGTGAAAAATTGCTTTGTTTCAAGTTCAAAAATTATTTAAAAAATTATACCATTTCATATGTTTGATGTCTACTCAATGTACCTTTTTGAAAGGGTATTTTACTCATATAAATTCTGAGTTTTTCAATTTTGAAAATAGAACACAACAAATAAAAAATTTTCAATCTCCAAACACTTTCTACATTCATTTTCAAATTGTCTTAGAATCAAATTCACCATTTTCAAAAACTTTCATTAAGTGTTCATATGTGCATAAATTTCATATTCATCCTTGAACACTTGTATTGAAAATTGTAAGAGTGAATTCTGATCATTTGGAGAAGATCAACTTTGATATCATTACTCTCAAATCAAAATCTTTACAAACTTGTGTATTTTGACTTGTGATCCAGGATTGTTGGACACAAGGGTGAGTGTTTACAAGAGGATTGTTCTTGTACACTTGTTAGTTTTATTGTTTGATAGTAGGCCTCACCGGTTGATGGTGTGATAGGTTGTACTTTATTAAACAATAGTGAAAACTCTCTTTCATGTTGAGAGGGGAGTGGAGTACTCTCGGATTGTGAGGGGAACCACTATAAATCCTGGTGTCCATTGTTCTTTTATTTTTCTTCTTCTGCTTTCATAACCAAAAACACAAACCAGTAATATTTCAAGATACCATAAAAACCGGAAAAATTTCAAAAGTCCTAATTCACCCCCCCCCCCCCCCTCTTAGGCATACTCTGTTCTTACACGCTGCACCATCCTCTACAGACTCTGGCGACATAGGTGACAAACACACTCCCTTAAAGGACGTGGACCTTGAAGATCGTCGCTGCACCATCCTTGGAGAGTGGACAAACACAGTGTTAAAGTACAAGTTCTTGATTAAAAAAAATTTGCTCTCCATCTTTAAAATTTGGATTCCAAAGTTCCTTGAAAAATCTTTGAAGCCAAATAGCTATAATGAGACCAGAGACCTAGATGAACACATCAAACATGTAGATACTATTCTTGATTATCACCATGTCTAAATTGCAGTGAGATGCAAACTATTTGTCTTGACCCTCAAAGATGACCTAGATGAACACATCAAACACGTGGATACTATTCTTGATTATCACCATGTCCAAATTGCAGTGAGATGCAAACTATTTGTCTTGACCCTCAAAGACGCTACCACGAAATGGTTCAAAACCTTACTTGATGGTTATATAAACTCCTACAAGGAATTTTTCGACTTCTTAATCGTCTAGTTCACATCTCAAAAACAAAACTTCAAGAATATAACTATCCTCAACAAAATTCAATAGAAGAAAAAGGAAATTGTATGAAAACACATTGGCTAATTTACTAAAATAAAGGTCAAAGTAGGCGAAACAAACAAGGGAAAAATGTTTAAGAATTCAGTTAAATTTTTGGGAGGGAAAAACAAACGATGGGAAAACACATTGGCTAATTTACCGAGACATTTTTTAAAGATTTCATATTTAAAAATTATTTTTTAAATATTTAAACAGTTCAATTTTCAAATTGCACAAATCCAATGCACTGCACAAACTTTTAAAAAAATTTACTATTTAAAATTATTCGTTAGCATTTCCCAAACAATTATACTATGAAAAAAATTGAAATATGTTCAATTTTACTTGATCAACTAATCACTATTATATATTTTATCATATTAAATTATAATTTTTAAATTAATAGTATGATATGGTTGAATGATAAATTTTTATTGAATGATAGTATTTTACAATGTTAAGTGCATATCCATTAAACTTTTTATAATTTCCATAAATCATTATATAATACAATATATATAATTCTAAAAGATATATAATATAATCAAACCTATTTTATAATTTAATAGTTACGGATTATATAAAATTCTTTACTTTATCCATTCTTAAAAAAATTAAATTAAATTGATAGTTATTTCATCCATTATTTTAATGTATGAGAGAATGTGTTTTTTTTTCTTAATTGTATATTAGGACTTGTTATAAAAAGACTGTTAACTTTTGCGGCCGATTTAAAAAGAAGGAAATCAAGAAGGAAAAAAAAAAGAATTATATTATGAATAGAGTCATCGAAATCCAAAAGTCAGTTAGCAGTTATTCCAAGTTCAGTTGCATTGCGCGCGCTCTTTCTCTCTCTCACAGCACAACAAGGTTCTCTCAATTTCTCAGCTTTTTCTGATTCTGAATCGTTCTTTATCATTTCAACTTTCATTTCTTGAGTAATTTTCATATTCTGAATCGATCTTTATCATTTCAACATTGATTTCTTGAACGAATTACATCATAGCTGAAACTTGTCTTTTTCTAGGTTTGCTTCTTTCACATCACACACTACACATTTTAGGTCACTGATGATTTTCATGCACTTTCTTGTTATTGTAGTATTTCTTGTTATGGATCAAATTATCACACTATTGCTATTCAAGACTGTTGAATTGTTCTTCCATCGCATATGTTATTTCAATCTTCAACTGTTTCTATCTAGTTCTGTTTTGAATCTTTTTCTGCATTTCTTTCTTGTAATTTTCATTTACATGCAAGAAATTAAGCTGTTTTGTGTTAATAATAATTATCATTTGGATTTGCTCAATTGGATTGCTTTCTTCATGCTGTGTTAATGCTTTTCTTAATTTGATTATATGAATGTTTTTCATTCCTTTTCTTTTCTTGTACCATAATCCCTTTTTTATCATTGAATATGCAGTAGCATTGTTTTTATAAGTAACTCAAAATGTTGATGCTAATATTCAACTATTTAACATATGCAGGCACAGATTTAACTGTTTCAATCCAAAATGAAAAGAACTCTGGAAGAGGTAATTCATAAAATGCATTCATTTTTGTTATAGCAGCTTTCAAATTGATTTTGTATTAATCATCTCATTCATTTTCTGTTTCAATTGGCCTTACAATAAACAAGATGGAGAAAGGGGAACCTGCTGATAAGAAAGTAATGCCGGTTGATGAGCCAAACTCACCCGAGGAAGATCCAAAATCACCCGAGGAAGATCCAAAGTCACCTCCTGTTGAGCCAAACTCACCCGAAGAAGATCCAAAGTCACCTTCCGTTGAGCCAAAATCACCCGAGGAAGATCGACAGTCACTTTATGATGAGCTGTTCTCTGCTGATGATGATCCAAAATCACCTTCTCTTAATAAAACATCATCACCAGAGGAGGATCCAAAATCACCATCTGCTGAACCAAAATCACCTGATGAGACCTATAGTGACCTGCTGATGAGACAGAAACCGAATGAGGACTTCGTCGAGGAAGATCCAAAATCACCTTCTGTTGAGCCGGACTTGTCCGATAAAGATCCAAAGTCACCTTCCGTTGAGTTGAACTCGTCCAGTAATGATCCAAAATCACCTTCGGTTAAACCAAACTCCCCTATGGATGATCTAAAATCAACCGAGGAAGATCCAAAGTCATGTTATGATAAGCTGTACTTCACTGATGATGATCCGAAATCACCTTCTGTTAATGAAAACTCATCACCGGAGGAGGATCCAAAATCACCATCTGCTGAACCAAATTCACCTTCTGCTGAGCCAAAATCACCTGATGAGACTCATAGTGACCTGCTGATGAGACAGAAACCAAATGAGGACTCATCGGTCGCATGTAATTTGGCAAAAGAAGATGCATTGATGAACGCAGCTGCTGAAGAAGAAATGAATTCGCCAGCGCCAGAGGCATCTAGTACTTCGGCATTTGATAATGCAATGAGGGAAGCTTCCGAAACTTTAGCATACAGAGTTGCTGATGCGGAGAATAAGTCATATTTGGCTGATGAGGCAGTCAAGGAGACAGAAAGATATGCAAAGTTTGTTGAGGAAAATGAGGCAATGTTAAAGTTTGCTGAAGAGCTTTTAGAAAAATGTACTGCAGATAAGCAACCATATCTACTCATAAATAAATTTTCCAAACATCATAATTATGCAAGTAAATGACCATTGTTCTTTTGTTTTGATAATGACAGGTAAGCTTGGTGAAAGTTTTCGCTTCGCTTAAATTGGGAAATGCTAGGCTTTTAGTGTTTTTGTGTTTACATGTAAATTGGTCCATCCATTGAAATGTGCTTTTATGACGCTCCCCTCACCCCAATAGAAAATTTAAACCCCGGTTAGTATAATTTTTTTTTGTCAAGTTCTTTTGAGACCAAAAAACTTATGTGTTACTTTTTTGGAATGACAACTAGACAGGACTTATTAATAGTCGTGACATTGCAACATACATCTTTATGGGAGATGCATTGCAACATACATCTTTATGGGAGATGCATTGCAACATACATTTTTTCTGCAGCCCTATAAATGTTTAGAAAAAGAAAAGGATGGTGCTGGCTACACCCCCATTAATGATCACACACTCTGAAAACTTGAAAATGAAATTCAAATGCACTAATTTTACAATAAAATCACTTCATTAGAGAGACATTCTATTTTTCTAAAAAGAAAGTTTTTATTTTAATCTTTGGATATATTGTATTAAAATTTAGATTTCAATATTTGGATAAATTCAATGCATTGCTTGAGTTTGAGTTTGTGTCATTACAAGATGGTTAAAAATGAGGTGAATTTGAATTTTAAAATTGCATCCTTTGACAATAATTTTGAAGAAAATTTTTATTATTAATAAAACAATACATTAATATTCATAGAATATAATAAATCGTAAATTATTGTTCACAAAATACAACCATACAAATTTTGACATGAAAGGAGCAAATGAACTTTACACTACATCTACAATTTAGTGCAGTGGTATACTGCACTTCTCCTGGCCCAGAGACTTCTTAAAATAGGAGAGAATCTATTATACGCTCCACCTAGAGATTGCTCCCCACGTGAAGCGACACCACGCAGTAATCGCAGGACCATGTCATAACTGATTTCCATCGATACCACCTCTCTCTGTCGAGCATATCTCATATCTCCAAATTACCCCATGTATTTAGCGTGCCACTCTTCTGCATGTGGTCCTCAAAGATCGTAGTTGCAGCATCCTTGAAATGATTTCCATCGATACCAACTCTCTCTGTCGAGCATATCTCATATCTCCAAATTGTCCCATGTATTTAGCGTGCCACTCTTCTGCACGTGGTCCTCAAAGATCATAGTTGCAGCATCCTTGAAATGATTTCCATCGATACCAACTCTCTCTGTCAAGCATATCTCATATCTCCAAATTGTCCCATGTATTTAGCGTGCCACTCTTCTGCACGTGGTCCTCAAAGATCGTAGTTGCAGCATACTTGGAATGATTTCCATCGATACCACCTTTCTCTGTCGAGCATATCTCATATCTCCAAATTGCCCCATGTATTTAGCGTGCCACTCTTCTGCATGTGGTCCTCAAAGATCGCCGTTGCACCATCCTTGGAAAGTGGACAGACACGACGTCGAAGTAAAAGTCTTGATTAAAAATAATCCGCTCTCTAACGCATCTTTGAAATTTGGATTGCAAAGTCCTTTGAAAAATTTCTGAAGCCAAATAGCTACAACGAAATCGGAGATCCAGATAAACACATCTATCATGTAGATACTACTTGATTATCACCATGTCTAGATTGTGAGATGCAAACTATTTGTCTTGACCCTCAAAGAGGCCACCATGGTTCAAAACCTTACCTGATGGTTATATAAACTCTTACAAGGAACTTTTCGACTTCTTAATCGTCTAGTTCACCACCCAAAAACAAAACTCCAAAAATATAACTATCCTTAATAAAATCCAATATAAGAAAAAGGAAACCCTATGAAAACACATGGCTAATTCACCAAGATAGTCGTCGAAGTAGGCGAAATAAACGACACGAAAAATATTTAAGAAGTCAATTAATTTTTAGGAGAGAAAAACAAACTACCAGAAAATACATTGGCTAATTCACTGAGATATTCTTTATGGATTTCATATTAAAAAGTTATTTTTAAAAATATTCAAACAATTCAATTATTAAAAAAAGGGTAATGTTAACTTGTGCCCTTGAGGCATATGTTAAGAATTAAATTAGGAAACATTGTCTTGAAAATTGTGTATAAACTTTAATTAAAGTATAAAATTAATTTTTAAATCGTTTTTTCCAATGCAAATTTACTATAAGTGGTTTTCTTAACATGTGCCCCAAGGGCACAAGTTAACATTACCCTTAAAAAAAATATTCAAACAATTCAATTTTCAAATTGCCCAAATCCAATGCATTGATTGTACAAACTTTTATAAAAAATTTACTATTACATGATTAAAGAGTCTATTGGGAACACTCATTAACGTTTCTCACACAATTATACTATGAAAAAAATGAAATACACTCAATTTTACTTGCTCATCTAATATTATTGTATATCTCCTCACATTAAATTATAACTTTTAAATTAATAGTATGTTTGGTTGAATTACAAATTCTTATTAAAAGACAATATTTTACGTTTTAGTGGATACAGATAAACTCTTATACTATTCATAAAAAGACAGTTAACTTTTGCGGCTGATTTAAAAAGAAGGAAATTAAAATTAAAAATAAAGAATTATATATAAATAGAGTCATCGAAATCCAAAAGTCAGTTAGCAGTTATTCCAAGTTCAGTTGCATTGCTTTCTCTCTCTCTCTGCACAACAAGGTTCTCTCAATTTCTTAGCTTTTTCTGATTCTGAATCGTTCTTTATCATTTCAACTTTCATTTCTTGAGTAATTTTCATATTCTGAATCGATCTTTATCATTTCAACATTGATTTCTTGAACGAATTACACCATAGCTGAAACTTGTCTTTCATTTCTAGGTTTGCTTCTTTCACATCACACACTACAAATTTTAGGTCACTGATGATTTTCATGCACTTTCTTGTTATTGTAGTATTTCTTGTTATGGATCAAATTATCACACTATTGCTATTCAAGACTGTTGAATTGTTCTTCCATCGCATATGTTATTTCAATCTTCAACTGTTTCTATCTAGTTCTGTTTTGAATCTTTTTCTGCATTTCTTTCTATGTAATTTTCATTTATATGCAAGAAATTAAGCTGTTTTGTGTTAATAATAATTATCATTTGGATTTGCTCAATTGGATTGCTTTCTTCATGCTGTATTAATGCTTTTCTTAATTTGGTTACTGTTAGTTTTGATTATATGAATGTTTTTCATTCCTTTTCTTTTCTTGTACCATAATCCCTTTTTTATCATTGAATATGCAGTAGCATTGTGTTTATAAGTAACTCAAAATGTTGATGCTAATATTCAACTATTTAACATATGCAGGCACAGTTTTGACTGTTTCAATCCAAAATGAAAAGAACTCTGGAAGAGGTAATTCATATAATGCATTCGTTTTTGTTATAGCAGCTTTCAAATTGATTTTGTATTAATCATCTCATTCATTTTCTGTTTCAATTTGCCATACAATATACAAGATGGAGAAAGGGGAACCTGCTGGTAATATAGTAATGCCGCTTGATGAGCCGAACTCACCCGAGGAAGATCCAAAATCACCTTCCATTGAGCCAAACTCACCCGAGGAAGATCCAAAATCACCTTCCATTGAACCAAAATCACCTTCTGTTGAGCCAAACTCACCCGAAGAAGATCCAAAGTCACCTTCCGATGAGCCAAAATCACCCGAGGAAGATCTACAGTCATTTTATGATAAGCTGTTCTCTGCTGATGATGATCCGAAATCACCTTCTGTTAATAAAACATCATCACCAGAGGAGGATCCAAAATCACCATCTGCTGAACCAACATCACCTGATGAGACCTATAGTGACCTGCTGATGAGACAGAAACCGAATGAGGACTCCGTCGAGGAAGATCCAAAATCACCTTCTGTTGAGCCGGACTTGTCCGATAATGATCCAAAGTCACCTCCTAATGAGTCGAGCTCCCTTGAGGAAGATCCAAAAACACCTTCTAGTGAGCAGAACTCGTCCGGTAATGATCCAAAATCACCTTCTAATGAGTTGAACTCCCTTGAGGAAGATCCAAAGTCACCTTCCGTTGAGTTGAACTCGTCCAATAATGATTCAAAATCACCTTCTACTGCATTGAACTACTTTGAGGAAGATCTAAAATCACCTTCCGTTAAGCCGATCTCGTCCAATAATGATCCAAAATCACCTTCTACTGAGTCGGCCTCCAGTGAGGAAGATCCAAAATCACCTTCTGCTGAGCCGAACTCGTCCAGTAATGATCCAAAATCACCTTCTGTTAAACCAAACTCCCCTATGGATGATCCAAAATCAACCGAGGAAGATCCAAAGTCATGTTATGATAAGCTGTACTCCACTGATGATGATCCGAAATCACCTTCTGTTAATGAAAACTCATCACCAGAGGAGGATCCAAAATCACCATCTGCTGAGCCAAATTCACCTTCTGCTGAGAGTCATAGTGATCTGCTGATGAGACAGAAACCAAATGAGTACTCATCGGTCGCATGTAATTTGGCAAAAGCAGAGGCATTGATGAACGCAGCTGCTGAAGAGGAAGCTAGAGTAGCTCGTGCAGTTTCTGAAAAAGAAGCTAGAAAACGGACGAGAAAAAGACCACAAGAACAGCTTGAAGAAGAATATGTAGATATTATTGACTGAATCTGTCTTTCATTTGATTGTTATCAAAAACAATGATGTCTCATTGATTTGATTGTGTATACTTTCATTCAACTAAACTTGAGGGTGTTTCATATGCCCCTATACTTAGACCATATACAAATGGTAGGATTTTTGTTTGGAAAACATGGTATTAATAAATAAACAGGCAAGCTCTTCTTCTGTTTTTCACTTTGTTGATATATTGATTTTGTTAGTTTCTATTATGTACAGTATGGTGGATTTCTGTCTTTATGCTTTTATTATTTTGTTTGTATTGTTGATTGAGATTTGTGGGGTGTGTTATAAGTCATGAAGGCTTGTAGTATAGTTTTATGATGTATTTAGTGTTGTTTGTTAAGCTGTGTTGAACTAGGATATTTTAACAAAGTCTATGTTATCTTAATATTCTTTCACATTGTTTTAGGT